CTCTGTATAATGCTAATTAATTACGCAGGGAGCATTAGTTTCATTAGGAAGTGGGATGCATTTATTAGCATTTTAAACAGAATCAAATTGCCTCATGCAGTRTAATTCATTAAAGGAGTCCATTAAATGCCTACTTTATTTAGATACAATATAATAAATTAGACTAMAAGGTAAGTATATACTCATTTATTCTTTCTCAAAATATATTTGTGGAACAGAGTCCTGTGAACGTACTTTCATTTCCTCTAAGCTTTCCAGATCGACCTTTGTCGGTAGATAAAAAGGCAGGTTTAATTATCAAAATGGAACACAGGACTATTCGGTTTCTATTATTTAGACCTTACTGTGAGTTAAAATGGATTGAAAATGGTTGTTGAATCACAAATTGCTCGTGAAAGAACAGTGAAATGCCAGGTAAACAAGCCTGGAAAGAAGGGCTTTGAAAGCTTCTAATAAACTTTAAAAGATTTGTAACTCCTAAGAGCATTTACACATTTAAAAATGAATAATCAATAGCTACGTTCAATACAGCTGACATTTTCATAGGCATTTCTCTGCTATATAGGTTCTACTCATTTTCATAATGAAAGTATATATAGCACAGACCATTACAATACGTACTGGATAATGAAATCTAAAACTAATGAGCCATGCCCTAATAGCCCTGAGTCAAGTCAGAGTGTGCATTAATAGCCCATTTGCAATTCCCCAGCGGCAGAAAGAACAAGGCTCCACGTACCCAGCAGCCTGCTCAGAGCCACTTGCTCTGTGCACCAGTAACACCACAGCAAAACCAAAAYKGGGCCAYGGTCCCTGGCGCTTTGACAGGCCTCCTTCAAATATTGTTCTTATTTTTGTTAGCATTGAAGCTGTCATTTCACCTAACTTCTCAAGCAGACCAACRGGACTGCTGTCATGATGTTTCTCTTCAGAAGATGAACTAAAAAGCTTCCCTGAATTAGTCAGTCCTCTACCTGTGAAATTTTATCTTTTCAGAAAACCCTGTTAATTTAATATTGCCATATTAGAAAAACTTTCACCATCCTGCCTTACATGCCTTCATCTCTACATATAATGTGTTTAACTTATACTTGCAATCACTGGATTTCCTCTGCTAGACTGAAGAGACCTTTCTTTTYTACCAAATTCTTGCCCCACAGTGGTGCCTCTGGGARGACTRACCTTCCTCTCACTAAACAAATCCTTTTCACTGAGRCTTTCATGCCAGTGCGTCTTGTTAATAGTTTCTGTTGAGCTCATGACTCTCTGAGCTCTCTCCAGTTTCCCAGGATTACTGGAAATTATGGATCTCARAGCCAGGCATATTTCWTGTGAAAGGTTATTTCAAAGCCAAATACAGACAACAGAACCTCTTCCTTTACAACGCTCCCGTTTCTACACGTGAGGATCTCATTGCTCCTACGGGCCACGATACATGCTGGAAATCCACGTTCAGCTGAGCATACACATCATCTAAAAATAGTTTTCAGGGTCCCCCTTTGGCAGAAGGAAACACTCTATTTTGTGGGTATGACCTGAAATCTCTGCTCCTAAACACACACTTTTAACTGCAAATTCACTTTGCTGACAGCTCCTTGACAAAGAATTCTTCCTGTTCTAAGTAGCTTGGCCTTGTTGGTATTTTTGGGGCATCTGTAAATTTGATAAGTCATTATTTTATTTTCATCTTTTCTTAACAAACTCATGGAACAGAATCAAATCCACATAACAAAGCCATTCCGTTTCAGCTGTCCCTTCAGAATTGCATTTTGCATCTGAGATCTTTCAGATTTGGACCCATTTAGTGTCAAAAGGAATTTTAATATTTTCTATAATATTTATATTGTGGGATGGCGTTATATCTGTTTCCATAGCAATAACATATTTCAAATAAAAGATATTTGAAAATCTGAGGATATTCCAAATACCAATGATAAAATCCCTAAATAAAATGCTACAGCAACAGTCCTGTGCCACATAACTRAGTTTGTAAAGCCCAAGATATTTTTCATGAAATGTGTTCCTATGAAGTAYAGGAAAAAAACATCATGATTTCATGTGTTTGGTTAAATTTTCTGAGCAACTGCACACAAGCAGGTAAATAAGATGCTTTATAAAACTCTGCTGGACAATTCTCCTAACAAGCATTTTGTTTCCTTTGCTTTATCCATCCACTAATAGCCCATGTGCTGATCCYTGCTCATGTTTCAGGATACTGCAATCAAGAAAGAGGCCAGAGAGCACCTTAGAGAGCTCCCTGAGAACACAACCTTGTCAGTCAACCTTCTACAACCTTCTTCTACAGCCACCAGCGACTTTCCACCACAAGGCCAGGAGACCCTCAACATTAACCCTATGCTAGAGAGCAGGACCCAGCCTGGACTGCCTTCTTGACTGCTGTACTCTGATTATTTGAAATTAAAACAATGATTTCCCACATTTGATAAATGTGCTGAGTATATTTATGACCTGGATGAAAAATACTATCATTTAAATCTTTTAAGTAGCTAATACATGTTTAGAATTATTTGCTTGTTACTGTTAATTCACTGAAAYGAACAACTCATTTCATACCGCTATTTCAGCCATTCAAAAGTCACTTGTAAGCCAGAAAACATATAATCTAAGTGAACCAAATCACTGCTGTCCAAGCCAACTGCGGACAGAAAATTGGTTCAACCCACCACTGAGCTAAMTGTAAACAGGGAAAAGATTTAACTGGCACAGATTTACTTTACTTTTCTGTTTAAAATTCTCTGAAGACAGATACACCTTGCAGCACCCTAAAGTTTGTGGTCCAATGTAAATACAGGTTTTAGATATTTGGAGTTCTTTTATATTCTTTCTAGGATGACGTGAGATATTCACTAATACCTGTCTATCTCTGCAAAGCGAATTACTAGAGCATTTACTATATACCCATCTTCAAACAAAATACAGGAAGGAATATGTCTTTCAAGACTTTTAAAAATAGCAAATTCTGAAACCACTTCTTTATTTATATCACATTGATGGAATTTAAGAACATATTTGCAGAGAAAATGCTAGACAGTGAATACAAAGAACTATACGCATATTTTAAGGATGCAGAAAGTGTGATACATGCAAGGTATGTTCTTGGTGTCCTTGAACAAAGTTGATCTCTTGAAAAAGAAGAATCTTGCATGTACASTTTCCTCTGCTAAAATATCACATCACCTCAAAAACCTAAATAATAATTATTTTTGCATTGCAAGATGTTAAAAAAAAAAGAAAATCCCCTTTGGAAGTCACCCCTATCTCTTCTATTCACCCTTTTTTTGAAATCATTCTCTGACACCCTGACTAAGGCACGTGATGAGCAGTTGTTGCTAAGTCTGTTAGCAAAACAAAGTATTTTCCATATAAATAGTGTTATAATAAAAAATGTAAACACAGACATTAAATAATCTGCTTCTTGCTACATCTGTCCTTAAAATCCTGCAGGTAGTTTTTGGGTAGCAAAGATTTATCTGTACAGAGGAGTAACAGTGCAGCTAAAGCCACAGCACTGCTCCAGGGCAGCAAGCATGGGCAGGCACATATGCATGCGGGCTCACACCCCTGGCTTGGACCGATTTGGGCTGCAACTTCCCATCATCAGGTAAGCAAACTGTGCATACACCAAGCTTAAACAGTTTTTACMATCCCTTGGTCTATCACAGCATAGATCTGCTTCTCCGTGTCATTAATGCATCGTTCTCCCCGAAGGAGTTAATGCAAAACCTCACWCTGACATTGCATGGACAATGTTCGTGGGGGCAATCGCTGCAGAAGATGGAAAAACTAGCTCTGACTGTCCACTCTAACAGCTAATGCCCTTTAGGTCTTTCATCATACCAGCAATGAAAGAAAGTGCAGTAATACTATSCTGATATTTGTTAACTGTAGAATTTGCTGACTGACCTTTAGGAAGGCATTGGCAGCAACAGAAGGGTTGGYTCCCTCTCTATCCCATCTCCCTGCAGCCAGTATCACCAGTGAGGATGCTGGAAATCYCCTCTCCCAGCCCTCCAGGCCCCACAGCACTAAGCAAGGAGGTTTTCTGCTGCTGCTGTCACGACACAGYATCAGCACATGCTAACACATACATACTGGTCGTTGAACTAGAATCCTTTATAGTGTCCATTTCCGGAGCACACAAGAAGATACSATGCACAGAAACACTTCATATTTAGGCTGAAGGTACCAAATTGTCCCAAATYACAAACACTGTACGGTTAAAGCCTTCAGACATTCGGAGAAATACCTTCTAAATGGGCTCTTTTACCACTGCCTTCATGCAGCTCTGCTCAGGATCAGGAGCCTCTACCTGAGCTCCATGAAACACCTTGATACTTCTTCAGTTTGTGAAGCTTCAGCTTGTGTTGCTTCAGCTGTGACAGTGGTTAAAGGGACACAAAAACATCAGTTCAGAATTTTACTCGTATTTTGTTCTTCAAACCGAGTTTGTCATGAACTTTGAAATATTGATTGTTAGAGACATGCCAGAACAAATATCTGTTAGGGATGAGGTTCACTTCTTGCTAATAAATTAACTAACTCAAGGTRGGTCACAGATTTCTAGTCTAATGTTGTTTAAAATCYGGAGKTTTTTTTCCTTTTCGGTGCTCTTTCAAACACCAACCTCCTCATTTCAGATGTTTCTAGAATGAATTGTAACAGTTTGCTATGAKAAACAGCCTTTAGCCCTGTGAAGCCAGGTGCTAAGAAAAACCATAGAGAAATTCCTCATGCTGAAACSTGCTCCTGGGCCAGCAGTTCAATTCAGGTATTTAAGATGAAGAATTCTTGTTTTGTCCTGAGCACACACAGGAACAGGATTATATATTTCTTTTCAGTTGGGACTAATGTGAGAAATAAGCACAGATGTCCCGACAGGAAAGGTGGATGTGCACTAAACCATCTAGACCAGCAGTACTTTTTTGGCAATATATTCAAGCAATTTGTTCTTCCAACAYGGAGATGTTTATTACATATTACACAGCCTCTCGCATATTGCCTCTGGAAAACACAATGCAAAGTGATTTTGCAAAATTACTGCAGAAATAGCAAGAYAGGATTGAGTAAAGAGTAGAAAAATCCTGAAAGGATGTCCAAGAATGGCAGGATACAGAAAACTGTGTGTGTGTCACACCTTTAAAACTGACTACATCTAACGTTGTGCAATATATTCACTGTGACAAACATATTGCTCAAGTCTTTTGGTTTACACTGGAATCCAGTATATCACATGATGTAAATGGAATTTTTCAAAATACTTTGCTGATTCACATCATTAGGGAAATCAGATTGCTAACACAAACATGGTTTAGGTTATWCAAGGAATACCTTTGAAGCCATCACAATTTCCAGCCTCTGAAATTCGTCTTGCAATTCTCTTGATGAGATGCTAAGAGCTTTAGGAAATTTCTTTCTTATATTATTCTAAGCAAAACAAATAAGTATTTAGGAAATGAAGGGACAACAGAAGTAATAAAGATATTCTCAGAAAACCGTATGACCTCTAAGACAGAAGATGTATCCTAAAAATGTTAAATGCAAGAAATAAGAACTAAAATTAAATATTTATTTACACTGAAGATTGCTATTAACATCAAATTATTGTACAATTAAAAAAAAATCTAAATTTTAGAGTTCAAGTAGAAAAAGCACAAGAAAGTCCACCACACTGAAGAACTGTGTTTCAAAAGTTATTACAAATATTGAACAAAGGATTCTGTTTTACAGAGAAAAACATCTGGGGAGAAAAAAATTGTCGGGGAAAAAAAGAACCACATTTGTATACAAGCATTGGCTTCACAGTACATAATAACAATATACAAGACAGAGCACCAAACTGCACGGTTCAAGGCCTAACATCACATTTATATTTAATCTCTGTATTGAAATCAACCCTCAYTGATAACATACAAACATAATTGCAAGAGGTGATAATATTTCAACACCCTAAGTGAGACGCTTTAGCTGACCACCCACTGATTGCATCGCCCTCTCAAAACCACAGCTATGGGGCTCAGAATGGCCAGAGCTCTTCACTATCCCACCTTTGGAGAAGGCTTCAGGCTCATGAAGGAAGCAGTGTTGCCAAGAAAAGCCTGCCCTGCTGCTGTCTGCACCATACCTGCCTGCACATTTCAGGCTTTTGATGCTCTTAATTCAGAACCTTTCCCCACTACCTAAATTCTCACACACGCGTGAGACATTTCTGTGTGCTGTTGAATATCAAATGGAGGAAGTTCTGCTGTGAGCTGCACACAGTGCATTAAACATGCATTTAGCCAAGAGAGTATTGCAACTGGCACAATAGGTGCCTGTTTAAGACAGATTTGCTCAGTAAACTTTTGTAAAATGGCTTTGAATTAAGGCTTCTATGTGAGACATGAGCGCGCTTGTATCAGCAGCACAGACCTCGTGATCCTCATTCTCATTCCTTTTCAGCGTCTCTAAAAGGCCCCAGTGGACGGGAGGCAGAGGGCTGTACGAGCTCAGCAAGCGGAGCTGGCTTAACGGATTCTGTTTTATTTCTGCAATCCTCAAAGCCCTCAAGATAGCAGGAGCAAACTTAGAATAATGAGCCGTCGAGSAAATAATAACGGGGCAAGTCCTGTCTTGCAAGCGATCCGCAACTACTTTAGCCACAGCTGTGTGCGTGTCCAAAATATACCCCGTGGTGCTGTACACAGAGTGGATGGCAGCGAGAGAGTCCTCCTCGGAGCACCAGCCGGCCACCACATCCCCTTGCAGCTTTTCGAGGAGCTCTTTCCGCAGCTGGAAGCGGCCCTGCTCTTCCAGCTGGCTGTATAACTGAGACACAAGCCGCCCGTCACCAYGAGCCATCAGGTGCAAATACCGTTCGAGATTGGAGGACTTCAAAATATCAATGGCTGGTGATAACGTGGGAATTAATGKTCTTCCCCTCAAATCATACAGCCCCGTTCTTACAAATTCAGTCAAAACGTTGTTTTCATTGGAAGCACATACACATTTCCTAATAGGAATTCCCATCGTTTTAGCATACAATGCAGCTAATATGTTGCCAAAGTTTCCTGTGGGAATGCAGACATCTACAGGGTTTCCGAAAGCAATAATATCCTGATGAACGAGATCRAGGTATGCAGAGGCATGATAAACTATCTGAGGGAGCAGCCGTGCCCAGTTTATTGAGTTTGCTGCAGCTAAAGCTGTTCCATATTCTACGGTGAGAAAGCCAGTATAATCAGAATTAGTAAAGATTTGTTTTATTGCTGTCTGGCAAAAGTCAAAATTGGATTTGACACCTACTGACCGGGCATTTTCTTTCTGAGAGCCAATCATCTGTGCTTTCTGAATGTGGCTCACACCATCCTCAGGAAAGAAACTCATCACAGCAATTCTCTGCTTGTCAGCATCGCGGAGACGACTGAAGCCGTCCAAGACGGCGCTGCCTGTGTCTCCAGAAGTAGCTGCCAGAACCAGGTAATTGCAACTGCTGGGAACGCAGTATGCGAATAGATGTGGCATCACCTGTAATGCAAAATCCTTAAAGGAAGCTGTTGGGCCATGAAAGAGCTCAAGGAGGAACTGATTGCCTGTCAGGTGCCTAACTGGGGCGATTTTAGAACAAGCAAAGTTTTCTCCGTAGGCAGTGCCAACGATTTCTCCCAGGGTAGGAGCAGGAATATCAGCGGGATGTATGCACCTTTCCAGTATCACCTGGGCTCTTTCAACATAGGTGGCTTCTATCAGGCTTTGCCATTCTTCAGCAGATAATTTTGGAAGTCCATTCTCAGGAACAAAGAGTCCCCCATCAGGGGCTAGGCCCTCAGTGACAACATCACTGAAATATTTAGCAGAGTCTTCTCCCTTACCATTTCCTGACCTACTAGCCCTAGTAGAAATAAAAGTTTCCAGTTCCGAGTTTTGGTACCTCTTCACYGCATCGAGCACCTTGTCTGCTACGGCCTCTGCGGTGTCTCCTGCACAAAGAACACGGATATCGTGCCACCTTCTGTAAAACTGCTTCCGAAACTGCAGGATGTCCCCGAGAGCCACCCCAGGAGCCTGGCCTACAATGCGATCCACCTTCATGGCCTGCAGCCTGCGCAGGATGACGGCCGTGGGCACATCCAGGTACACGACCACGCCGCTCTGCTTCACGTGCCGCATGCTCGCGGCGTGCATGGGATTGGAGCCAGTGAGGGAAATGACACTTCCAGATGCTGAAAGAGTCAACAGGGCTTTTCCTTCCTCCTCTAAAAACTGCTCGTTACCCACATCCTGCAGCTTTTCTGACACGCTCATATTCCAGGTTGTTTCCAGGACATCATCATCAACATCTATCACAGGGCAATTGAGTTTCTGACCTACTATTCTCCCTACTGTTGTTTTCCCAGCACCCGGAGGTCCCATTAGGATAATATTCTTGTTTCCAACGAGAGAATGGCTTGAGAGCCATGATTTCCATGTTTGTGTCAAAGCTACAGGTCTTGAAAACATCAGCTTTAAGCACGTGCTAGAAAGAGTGGTTTTGGTTATTAATTTTAAAGGTTGGTACTGTACAATGGGAAACATCTTCCTCTGCTGCTTTTTCAAGTCAATGTGACAATCCACTCAACTGCTTTTTAAAAAAAAAAGAAAAAAAGAAAAAAAGAGAGAGAGAGAGAGAGAGAGAGCAATTAGTCCTCCAGCAAATAGCAAGAGAAAAACTAGAGAATATGAAAGATACAGCAGTCAGAATTAGAACACAAATCCAATTATGGCTTTCCTGGTGTCAAAAAGTAAGTATTTTTCCAAAATTATTTGTTCTATTCCCCTGCATAATTCCAGACAATTTCCCCATGGACAAATTTGATTTCAGATAGTCCATTTCTTGATGTGTAAACAAGGACCGATCTAATTTAATGCTAGTGCTATTTGTAAATAATAATAATATATAGGCTTTTAAATTCAGTTGGTTATACCTATATCAACTTTTATGTAGATATTTACAAATAAGGAACTTAATTAAATTATCTTCTTATAATCATAATGTTAACAGGATTCACCCACCTTCCCCTATGATGTTCTTAGCTTTCATTTCTTACACTTTCTTTCTAGAAATCAAATACAAGAACCATTTAAATGCACAGGAAACTCACAGACTGTTGCATGACAGCAAGGCTGGCAGAATTGCATCCAGTTCTCTTCTAAAAAAATGGGAGACCAAGCAAATATTTGACGCACTCCTTTATTTGGTGCAGTATGCGTAAAATGAGAGACAAAGAAAGAACAAAAGCATCATGAAAACACTCTGTACTCAAAAGAAACCATTAGGAGAGCAGGATCTCCAACAGAGATAAGCAAGAAGTTCTCAATAACAACATGTTATTTCCTTCCCTAGGGAAATTATCACTGTTAGCAGGAACTGCAGAACCAGAACTAGATGTGATGTTTAGGGGCAAGGAGAAGCACCCTCAAAAAACAAATCCGCAGACTGGCACAAAAACCCCTCCACAGTCATTTCTCATTTTAGTAAGGTAATTGAGTGTCACATTATTATTTCTTCGCTGATTGTGTCTAAAATACTTACAGAAAAATCAAGAAGTAACTTCTTTTAAGGAAACTAATGAAATTTTGGATGCATAAATCCAAGTGCTTATTATTCTGTCATCGTAAAACTCAATTAGATTTCTGTTGTGAAGATTTACAATCAGCAATTTCTAACAACCGTATTTTTCAAATTCAGTCTAGGTGGTGATACTGCAGGTATTTGCTCAGCACTCTTAAAATGCCCTTTTTAGTTTACATAGTGGTTACTTTCACCAGTGAAATGTTTTTTAATAATGTGTTTCCTCTTGTTAATCATGACAGACTACAAAGAATGATTTAAGAAATTCGCTATCAAGTGAGTTTCCAAATCCTTCAATCATTCTTGTAGCTTTTCTCTACATCCTCTCCAGTTCCAACTGCTTCTTAGAACTACGGAGAGCAGGAGCAGCATTGCAGTAGAAAGAAGGTGAGCAGCACACAGGAACTGCCTTATCTTCCAAAGACCTACTCATGAATTATCCATGCTTCCAGCTACCACAGCAGTCCTTTAAGACCTCACTTTCTTTTGATTATTTAAAGTTCTCTTTTCACTCATTTCTACATGGAGATGGTTTGCAAAGAATAAGCTCCCTAAACTTAATTCTATTACCYGYTGATTGTAAGCTACACCCGGTACTGTGTTTTAATGCACATGCCACAATTGCACTGCAGATAAAATTAAAATAGCAAGTTGTAGTTTCTTCCAGTCTTTGTAAAGTACAAGCAATACTCAGGTGTAGCAGCAATATACTTAAAAGCAAAATCTGTGAAATACAGTTATAATATTCAGTAGGAAATACAAGGRCATAGGTAAAAGGTATTTTACTAATTGTGCAGATTTAAGTTTACATTCAAGGCTCAAAACATTAAGGGACAATATTTTAGTAATTTTATTTCTTGCAAGGAGGAATCACTYGACACTTTACTCATGAGGAAAGGGCACCTACTCTACACTCAGCTTTGCAGCCTACATGTCAGCTCCACACTGAGGGGCAGGCACTGAGTAAASACTGCAGAGCTGCCTGACCTAACACCGGGACTGCGTTAGAAATCCAGGCTRCAGGGACTTGCCCTCCTCTTACTTACAGATGTTAATGTAAATGGAAATTGATATCAATTTATCTAGCTATAGACTTACCGTGTATACATAAAGCTGCAATTAGTCTRTGGTATTTTCTGATACCAAGTGAGTCGATCTGGTGAAAGAAAAATGCAGAAAATGTCTTTATCTGGCTACTTAATCAGTTTAACCTATGTCAGTGTAATCCAATTTTGTACCCATATAAAGTATATGCACACACAAGCTAGTCAAATGCAATTGCTTTTGAAATTAGCTTTTTATTCAGTTCTAAAAAAAAATAAAAATAAAAAAGTAGATTTTATATATAAATAGTTTACTAGGCTAGGCTACATCACCAAACCAGCCTAGTTTAGATACAGCCAATTCTGTCAAGTTGAACTTCTCTTTTGTCCTTGAAGCAGAGTTTACACATCCACACYTGCAGCAGAGGAGATGTTTTGACATTTTTATCCTCCACTTGGACTCCCAGCACCAGTAACATTAGAAAATATCCACATTTTTAACAACCATCACTGCTGGCAGGGGTTCTAGTGAAGAGTGGCCTTAGTTCCCGGTGACCTGGGGCAAACACAGAGAAGCCAGCAGCAGTTTACAGCTCTCAAAGGCCTCAGACCCGAGAAGTGGGGCATCTATCCGTGCCTTTTGGACACACACCTTTTGCTTTTCTCAAAGCTACTAAAGATGGGGGCAAAAAATGAAGTAAAACTTTCAGCTCCAAGCACCCCATGATCACCTCACAGCCCAAGGCTCTGCAAATGCACAAAACACACCAAGTTCTGAGGAAATGCGTGGAAAATGCCCCAAAAGGCCTGTTTAAGGGGGCCTGCCGGGCAGCCAGCGGGGTAGCTGCGTGCAGCAGCCCCCTGTCCCGGCCCGAGGGCAGAATCACGAGCCCCGTTAGCCGATCCCAACGCTCCCAACGRCCGCGGACACCCGCGGGACGGGCCCGACGCCTCCCAGGGCCTCCCCAAACGCCCTCACGCATTCAGCTCGGCTGGCTCGGCGCCAGCAAGGTGCCAGGCTCGCTCCTGGGAGGCAAAWATAGCAAACGGAGCGGCATGAGGCGGCACTGCCCGCACTAAGGAGCCAGGCGCTTGCAACACCCCGCGCAAGCCCGGGGGGGCCGGACGCGGGCAGGGAGCACAACGGCCGCGCGTCACGGCGGGGGGCGGCCGGCTCGGAGGCGCCGCAGGGGGACGGGAGAGGCGGCGCCGCCGGTGCCGGTGCCGGTGCCGGTCCGTCCCTCGCTCCCCGCTGCGCTGCGGCCGCCGGCGCCGCAGCCTCACCTGCGCCCCCGCGCATGCGC